CTGGCGGGCAGGACGGCGAGCTCGGGCTGTTTTGAGCTCTGCAGCGCCGCCGCTGCGCCCTATAAGCTCTGGCGGGGGAATTCTTGGGGCGGGGTCAGGCGCGGGGAATTTCCAAGCCAGTCAGACCAGAAAAGAGAACTGGCCTCGTCCTCTGCTCAGCACCTAAACCCTGAGCCGGGGTTCATCAGAGAAACTCCCTGCGATGAGCAGTGGGGTCATTGTCCGGGAACTTTTTTGATGAGCTCTGAGTGGTGGAAAGTCCTCTCGATGAGTCCCCCCTCCCAGGTACTTCCCTGCAGCCTGCACTCAGTAATCCTGAGCCCCTGCAAGAAGCCTTTCCCTGGGGTTTCCCACGGTCGAATTGATTTGGGGTCGTGGACTGTAGAGATCCCAGGACGCAGACGGTGGTTCCAGTTTGGGGTTTGCCAACTTGCCGGTCCTTTCCGTTTTTCTGATATTTTGAAAACTCAAGAGTGGAAGTGATGGCTGAGTGTAGTGATTTGCTTCCACCAAATTTCTCTGTGCAGGGAAGGACAGACATGAGTGGTTTAGAAGGTCAAAAGCCGTCTGTGTATCGGCCAGTAGGAGCTCTTTGCATTGCAGGGACATTTATCTGCCGCCCTCCCACACATCATAAACTGCGAAAGCTTGGGTATTAAAAACCTTTGGCGAACCCTCAAATCATTTTTTAGGGATTAATGATCCTATTGACTGGAGGGGGTGGGGGAATCTCTGGCTCCGTATGAGGAAAAGTACCACGGTTTCTTTTTTTCCAAGTAAAGCAAAGTGTTGATCTTTGTAGTTAGTAGAGGTTCAGGATGCCTTGCAGTGTTGAAATAACTACTGAGCTCATGGAATAACTACTGAGCTGCTGCGGAGAATGGAGCCTGAGCTTACTTCTGGGGGCCCAGCTGAACAACTGGTTAGTGCCTTGCCTGAGATTGGCCCGTAAGGATGGCTGCAAAGTACCTGCTAGGTATCCTGCAGACTGCCTCTGCTGGTCCTTACTCCCAACCCCAGGCTAGCAGTTTGAGCTGTCCTCTGCTTTTGGGGAGCCACTCAGAGAACGGGGTTTGGCCTGACAATCTACCCTCTGGTTTCCCCTGCAGAATTGGAACACATGCTCCTCCCACCCCACATGCTCCTCCTAGCCTGTAAGCCAGGGGTTGATTGCTTCAACTACAAGAACTGGTCCAGGCAAAATAAAACACGGTGGTCCAAGTTCTTCAAAATTAACTGCAGGAGGCCTCTAGTTGAGCAGGGATTTCTGGTGATTATTGCAATCATCTTTCCCTACGGGCCAGGCCAGGCACTAACGAGCTCTTCTCTTTTCTTCATATCCCCCCCCCCAATATTTGAAAATAGAAAAAAATGAGCCTATAGGGTGGACACAGAAATATGAGGAGAGCATGTGAAAACTTCCCAGGGATTGACCCCATGGCCTGCAAGTTTCTGATAGGTAAATGTATGGTTATTGAGGGAAAGGGAAACTGACTATCATTAGATCTCAAATTCCAGGTTCTGCCGCTAGTTAACTGCGTGTTATGGCAGAGGTCAGTTAACTTTTTTGTGGTATGCTTGCTTTTGTACTAAGAAGGGATTTAATATTATTTAACTTCTTTGGTTTCTAAAAAATTACATTAGAACTTCTTCACAAAAGTGTGTCTAATCCTCCTTTGGAAGGATGACTGTAGCTCTTGGTGAAGCTTTTTTTTTTTGGTACCTGGTCCCGGGGATTGAACTCAGGTCCTTGCACTTTTGAAGCAGGTGCCAGAACCACTGAGCTAAATCCCCTGCCTGACTGTGGTTCTTGGAAACATCACAATATAAATTTTTTAAAGTATCATGAATCGAACTCAGGGCCTAGTGCTTGCCACACTATAAATTTTTGAAAGAATTCCAACACTATACATCATATTCTTAGTTTTCAGAACTAATCCTGTGAGAAAAGTATTGTTCCCACTTTCCTAAAAAGAAACTGAAATCCGTAAGCCATTACCCAGGCACCCTATAGAGGTTTTTCTTATTCTTATCACTATACAGTAATCATTTGGCCAATGAAATTGTATTATTGACAGTTGAAAATATATTGTGAAAATGAAACTGAATACACCATAATTTGGAATATACTCAAAAATATCTTCTATTCCAACTGTTAGATAAAATAGAGGGTAGGTGTTGCCTTATGTGGGGCTATTTGCTTTTTTAAAAAATGCACAGCAATGTCGAACTCTAAAAGCTCCACTTCTAAGGGGCACATAAAAAGATGATTTGGGGCTTCAGTTATAAAAATTCAGGAATAGGTTTCTTGGCGGCTCCTCTGATGGTTTTGTACTCCAGACAGCACAGCCAGTAGGACCTGGTGGTCCATGTTTCTGATTTAGTGTGACACCTAGTGGTCAGAGGCAGGCCCCAGCTTTCCTTGATTTATCACAAGGCCTTTTGAAAAAAATCTAGTAGGTGCCTCCAGCCTCTCAGAAGTGGGAATTCCCAAACTATTGTTTTCCTGAAAGCCTAGGAGACAGTTTTCAATAATGCAACCCAACAGGTTTTCTCTCCACATAGTCTAAGTCAACAAACATTACAGGTTTGGTGAAAAGGAGTGTACTTGGACATCGAAACCACGAGCAGACTGGCTTTCTGGGGGATGGTATACAAAAAGGAAAATGACAACACAAAGGCCTGCTTTTTGGTTTATTGTGGACGCTTTGGTATCTGGAGTTCCTCTCTGCATTGAACTAGGGGCTTTGTGCATCTTAAACTGACTTGACACCCTGAGCTACACACCTAGGCCTTTGGTTTTTGTTTTTAGTGCAGGAAGTAAACTAATGAAAAGTTTTACTTCAAAGCAGCTTTGTATATTGGCTCAGGACAAAGCCATAGAGAGTGACAGTGTGGCCAGTGACCTTCGCAGGCTTCATTGTGGGCAGGGTCGCCCTCATGGGACAAGGAGCATTGTGGGGCCCCACGGGGCTGCAGGTACCCCACGTCCTCTTTTTGGCCAGGAAATGCACGGTATGAACTAAACTTGTTGCTTCAAGTGCCCAGTGGCAAGCAGCATGGAGATTCTCTGTAAATTCAGCGGGGTGGTCCAGTAACCTCTGCTTTTCTTAACATGAGGGGCAGGGTGGCCCGTGCCAGTTAGCCTGGCCAGTGAAACCTAAATTGAATCCTACAAAGTGAACTCAGACTACCCCCCACTCAGTACTGCTAAGCTTGGAGAGAGGAGCCATGACCTTCCTCAGTTGGTGAGTTCCTTTGCCATAAACTCTGTGGTTCACTGGGGATTAAAGCCTCAAAAGATCTCAAACTCAAAGACGTCCGCACAGGAACCAGACAGGTCTCAGAAGAGTGAATCCCACTTGAACCCAAAGGAAGCAACCGGACCTGCAGCAGTACAGGCCCAGGGATGCTTCCCTCCCTGGCCACGTGGCATTCTGAGTACAGCCATGACTTTCATGTTTTGCATCTGTTTTTCTTTTCTTGGGTGCTGGGGATCAAACCTATGCCCTTGCACAAGCTGGCACGTGCTCTCTCTACCACTGAAGTACACCCCCAGGCCTCTTCCTTTGTTAAAGAGAAAAAAGCAACCCACAAGGGAGGACTTATATTGGAGAAAAGCCCCGGATGTGAGGGATGTGTTAGGGCAGTTAGTTGTTCCGATTCTATTGGTTGACATGAAAAAAACTAATTCTGGAGAAAAATCTGTGAATATATGGAATGTGGGAATATATTTTATTTCATTCACATCCATTCAAAGTCCCACAATAATGTACACTACCAGTAGGTTTTATAAATAGAAGAATGGACACTGAACAGAAACCCTACTTATTTGGGTGGAAAAGGAAAAATTATGTGAGAACTCCTTTTGGAAAGATGTCTTTTTTTTTTTTTTTTGCTACCGGGGATTGATCTCAGGCCCTTGGTCTTGCAAGGCAGGTGCCGGAACCACTGAGCCAGATCCCCAGCCCCATGGAAAGATATCTTAAAAATGTAAATAATATTCAAATCTGGATGCAAATTGTTACATCATGTTCAAAATTTCACAACATGAATGAAATGTTATACCATTCATGAATATATTGTTTATCAATAGCACATAATTGAAGAACATTTCTTGGCAAATAAAAAAAGCTAAAGAAAATAGATTTTAATCTGAAAATTTTCAAATTTTAACACATTATGAAAATCGAACAAAATGCATTTCTGTGTCTTTTGGCTAAAGAGAAATGAGTCCACAGGCCTTGAGTTTACAGCCTCATTTCCCAGCTCAGGTATGATGTTTTAATGGTAATTTCTGCTCCTATGGAACAGGAGAAGGGTGGCTTTAGCAGTTGGAACCAGGCTCTGAGGCCTGAAGAGAGTTGTCCATCACCCAAAGCAATGTTGAAAGACTACAGCATAAAAGAAGTGCAAAGTCTAAAAACTGACTTTTTTTGTGTGTGTTTGCAGTACTGGGGATGGATCCTAGGGCCTTCACATGAAGCTAATCCCAGCCCTTTAAAAAATATTTTTATGTTGAGACAGGGTCTTACTAAAAGGTTAAATTGTCCAGGCTGGGCTTGAACTTGCAATCCTTCTACATTCAGACGCCCAGAACTCTGGGATTCCAGGAGTGCACTGCCATACTCGGTGAAGTTCTGATTTTCTCACAAGCAGTATGTACACATTTTTTATTTTTTAGTCCTCTTACCCAGTAAGCATCCTGTTCTATGCAGGGATCCTGCAGTGCTGTGCCCTGGCCACATGCCCGGGGAGGGAGGAGGCCTGCACGTGTGGCCCTTGGCCAGGATCCCGGCCTCTCCCTTTTCATGACTTGCTGGCAGCAACCAAATAATATTTGTAGGTGCATGGGGCTGCTCAGGCTCTGTGCTTTCTGGGAGGAGTAGCTGGATCTGGGAGGAAGTGGCTAAAGAGCACGTCGTTCCCCTGCATGCCAGTGTCCCGTGTCAATTCACTGGCATCTAGTTGGGGTGGGAGGAGACTTAGAAACAAGGCAGATCCACACCAGAGCTGATGCTCGGGAGGGTATGAGACAACAGCAACGCAGCCCGTCCTTGCACACCGTAATCAGGAAAGGGGCTCATGATCCTGTCCACATCAGGGCAAAACCAAACTCACTGCCAAACCGTGTGGAGAAGTGGGGACATTTTCTTCTTAAGGTCTAAGGTCTCGGGAATAGGTTAGGACACAGGTAAACAGTTGGAGTTGCTAAAAGATTTGTTCAAGGCTATTACTGGGGAAGGATACCTGCAGTGCTGTTGATTTCGAACGTAATTCTTAGTTGTGTTTTACACACTACAAGCAAATGTGAGACAGAATAAGAGGAGCAAACAGAAGGCACACAGAGGAGTGGATTGCCCAGAATGTTTGTTCTTTCTAGCAGGTCCTGGCTGTCCCAGTCCAGTCCCACGGCTATCACATTGTCCCCCTGGATAGGCCACTTGGCTTGCTTCAGGAATACTCACCATTTCCTGTGTCCTGGGCCTGTTTTTTGGTTTGTTTTTCTACAGGGGCTCACACCCAGGGCCTTGGCCATGCTAGGTAAGTGCCTTACCACTGAGCTGTGCCCCAACCCCCTAGGAGTGTTTAGGAATGATTTATTTTTTAACCAAGAACACAGATACTTTTGGAAAGTATCTCACTTTTAGAAAATGAGGTAGATTAGTGCATCACCCAGTCTTTCAATGCAACGTTTGAACACTGGCTGGGGATTTAGCTCAGTGGTTCCGCCGCCTGCCTCGCGAGTGCAAGGACCGGAGTTCGATCCCCAGGACAAAAAAAAACAAAAAACAAAAAACAACCAAACAAAAAAAACAAAAACACTGGGCCCTTGGGACAGTGGGAGAAATCCGGAAGAGGGGCATCCCTGCGCACACGGACCGAGACTCAGGAAATCGGGGTGAGGTAGGGCACAGGGTGGTTCTTGTTAAATGCATGTTGTGAAGATGATGAGGAAGAGAGACTGGGCGGGGTGGCACATGCCATGATCCTAGCATGTGAGAGGCTGAAGCAGGAGGATCACCACAAGTTTGAGCCAGTTGGGCTACATGGTGAGTTCAAGGTCAGCATGGACTACTTCCTACGTTCTGTCTCAAAAAGCCAAAAAATAAAATGAAAAAATAGAGCGCAGGGAAGTGAATGTATAACCCAGTCACCATGTCGGCTCGGTCGCCACCTCCAAGATGCCAGGACCTCGGAAAACACCAAGCATGATTTCGGGGCAGAGAAGGCAGGGACACAGGAGAAATAGAACAGGCTGCCCATGGGTTTAAGGGAGTAGAGAGACCACACTGGAATAAATCTACACCAAGAGGAAAACAGTGTTGACAGTACTGTCTGCAGCGACATCTCCTGGCCATTGGTGGAAGCTTTTTCTCTCTCTGAGGAATCACCTTTTTTGCTTGTTTCTGTTTTGTGTTTTCTTTGGACAGGGTGTCTGAGTAGTTTAGGCAGGCCTCCAGCCCGGGATCCTCCTGCCTCAGCCTCTGGGATCAGTGCTGGCATGCACCTTCAAGTCCAGCAGATCATTTCCCGAAGGAGGGGAAAGTAGGGTGAGGATATACACTGAGGCTAGATATTTGGTTGGGATGACTGGGAACCATTTACCACAGTGCCAAGGAAAAACCCCTTGCCTGCTAGCCAGCCTCTCCAGCAGCCCCTTGGTCAGTCGGCTCTGTCCACTGTGCTTTTGAAATGGCACCCAGACCTCTTCCTATTCCACTGGCCCCTTAGGAGTACAGGCCCTGTTGTACCATGGTAGCGTCTTGATTTGTTGTTTATACATTTATTAAACAGCATTTGATCTGATTATCAAATATCATCATCTTCAGACCCATTCTTTAGATAAGTATCACCCCCCCCCAATACTGGGGGTTGAACCCAGGGCCTTCACACTGAGCTACATCCCAGTCCTTTTTAAATTTCTACTTTGAGACATGGTCTCACTACGTTTCACAGTCTGAGCTTGAATTTAAGATCCTCCTGCTTCAATCATAAGTCACAACACCTGGCTGCACTCTATTTTAAACAAAATTGAGGCTCATAAAGCTGAAGGAGCCAGGCAGGGTAGCACACACTTGTAATGCCAGCACTTGGGAGGCTGAGGCAGGAGGATCACTATAAATTTGAGGCTAGCTGGGCTAAATAGTCAGTTCAAAGCTGGCTTGAACTGCATAGCAAGACCCTGTCTCAATAAACCAAAAGCAAAAACAAAAAACAAACACCGGAAAGAATTCACTCACTAGGTGGTCTCAGACCTAGCATGTAAATTCACCCTCCCCCTGCTCCCCACCAAACCCTACAATGTTTGTTCCTTTTTTTTTTTTAGCTTTCAAAGATATCGGCCTACATTATGCATTGTATTTTCCATATTTTAAATTTTTAATTAGATTAGTGTATGTGGTTTAAAAAAATCAAGACGTCTAAAAGGGTTATAATCATACAATTCAAGTTCTTGGGTCTGGGGCGGTGTAGCTCAGTGCTAGAGCACATGTTTAGCAAAACCCAAGGTCCTAGGTTTGATCTCTACCACCACACACACGCACACAAATTCTTTTCACTGCTGTTTTAAATACACATTTCCACCAAAAGATGGAAAGAGGGAGAAGGGAGAAATGAAGGGGAAGTGAGCGGTTCTGTGGCCTGCCTCGCAAGCGCAAGGACCCGAGTTCAATCCCCGGTACCAGAAGAAAAAAGATCTGTTCTGTACACGTACCAACTCCCGCATGGTGAATATAATCATTATGTACTGCAAATATGTCCTAATAAATTAAAATTTGAGGAATAAAATAACGCATCTTTCCTCATATGATTTTGTATAATGGCACTGAGGCAGGAGATTAGAGCAGGGCAAGGCGGCTGGGCAAGCGGGTGCGACCTGGGCGTCACAGAGATCCAGGACATGCGCAGTAGAGCTTCCAAGCCGTGCGCCCGGGGCGATCAGAGACCGCTACCTTCAGTTCCTGGGCACAGATCAAGCAGAATTTTGACAGGACGGGCTAGGCCTGACATCAGAATGGTGGTATACAGATGGCGGCCACTGCCTCCTTTTTCTTTCTCTCTTTCTTCCTTTTTCTTTTTGGTACCGGGGATTGAACTCAGGTCCTTGAGCTTGCAAGGCAGGTGGCGGAACCACTGAGCTAAATCCCCGGCCCACCTTTAATACTTTTAATGAATATAAAATCTCGCTCCTCGGTTTCCTGTCCAATTCTTTGTTCAGAACAAGAGCCTAGGAAGGACCCCTGGGAAAGGCACAGAGCCCCAACACCCCACTAACAGAATCTCCGGGGACCTGAGAAGGCCTGCAGAAGTGTGAATTCCTCAGCCGGCATTTACAGCCCTCCGGAGTCAGACCCTTCCTAGCTTAGCCCCTGCGGGTCCCCCTTGGTCCCCAGCACGCCACTCAGCTGCTCTGGCCTTTCGAGGACTCTTCCCTCTCCCTCCCCGCCTCCCTGTCCAGGGGCCACTGTCCTTCAGCTTCCTTCCCAGGCCCGACCTTTTCAAACCCCTTCTCTGCCTTCCTCACCTTTGTTTCTGTGTTCCGTCCTTTTCCGGTCCCTTCTTTCAGTTTGTCTTGCACATTGGTCCACACTTACCTCCTGCTCCTTAGCCATTTCTTGACCCCCCGGTCAGACACGTCTGGGTAGAAGATGGATGGGATCTCCAGTGTGAGAGGAAAACATTCATTTCTTCGGCATCTCCCTTACCCAGACCTTCATCTACAGTCTGAGAACCCTTTTTCTCCATAGCTGTCATAATCATTCTTTGATTCGCCTTTTCTGTTGATAGTTTGCTCTTCATTCAATCAACTTTCCTACTCTGTGGGGAAATTATCTCCAGAGGTCACGGCTTCTTCCTTCCAGTGAGTAAACTATCGCCATTGCCACCTGACAAAGGAAGCAGACCCCTGGGGTGGAGGCCATTAGGAGGATGGGTACCAAACTGAGTCACCACAGAGCCCAGCCCGCTGTCCTAGGGGAATGAGGGCAGGGGCAGTAGGAGAAGAAATGAAGACTTGGTTGTGAGAGACTTAGATATTGGCTCCTTCTCCTCTGCCCTCTTCTAGTGCCCGAGAGTCACCTGTGCAGTGGGACACCGGGCCAGGAGAGTGAGTCCTCTCTTTAGCCCTTCAGTTAAGGAGTCAGGTGAGGGGACAGAAGCTTGCTTAGTCCAACTCCCCTGGGGGACAGGTGAATAGCAAGTTGGGGCAGAAGTTCTGCGTTAGAGAAGGTCCTGTGTTAGCAATGCTTTGAGCACAGAACAGCGGGAAGGGGGCTGAATGGGAATGTGGCTGGCTGATTGGTTGGCAGGTCCCCTGGCAGGGAGACGCCTCCCATCGATGCACTTGGTGCCCCAACGCCCATGTGACTGGCTGACCTGCAGGATGTGGCTGGAAGGCCCACAGCAGCCCTTCCATGGTGCTTTTGATGGCTTTCAGAAGTTGGGGTATTTCCGACCCAAAATAACATACCTCAAAAGCTTGACCTAGTTTAACAAAGTATACACGAACTATCAGAATTCAAAGTGAAAAGCCCACGGGCGTATGGAGAAGGATGTATGCTTTGTAGCTTCAAACTCGGGCACCATCCTGAGCAATTCGATTCCCTGATGAGCTTCCCTCAGAGGAAATCCTAGGGCGGAGGTTGGACTGTCCAGGGTAGGCTCCCTGTCATGGCCTCTGACCACAGAGAATTCACCCAAATACTATTACTTACGACCATTCACTAAATTTTTGAGTAAAAGTACTCCAGAAGGTTACAGACGTGTCTGATGTCAGGGTGTCACCACAACTTTCCACTGTTAAAGACCTTCACTCTCTCACTTGGAGCTTTGCTGCTCTCGATTTTGGGTGTAGCAATTTGTCAGGCCAGCCCTGGGTGAGTCATATGGGCAACAGCAAGAGTGACAAGTATGCCGGAGGGCTGCCGTCTAGGGGGTGCTGAAACTGAGACTACAAATAGGTGGGGGTTCCTGGGCCAGCCCCCTTCACGGCCTCAGGCATCAAAAAGGAGCCTTGCCCACAAGAGAGAGCAAAAGCCCCCGCCTCTGTCACTCCTGCCCCACAGGAAAAGCTCAAGGTGATAATGAATTTGGTGCTTTCAAAATGTCACAGACAGGCTCTCACCCCTTCCTCCCCCAGACTTCTGATGAGAGGCTTTCCCTCTGGGTACATTCACTTGCTTAGTTCCTGCTTTCTTAGCTGTGTTTTGTCAAAGGATTGATTAAGATTAAAGGCTGGGGGAAGGGCAGGGTGTGAGGCCCTGGGTTCAATCCCCAGCAACACACACACCTCACAGATCAAAGAAGAAGTGTAAAATATTGACAAAACAAGGATAATATGAGGGAATATCACTCAGAGGGAAAAAAGCACAGTCGGGCCAGGTATGGTGCTACACACCTGTAATCTTGGCAGTTTGGAGGCTGAGGCAGGAGGACCATGAGTTTGAGGCCATCCTGGGCTGCATAATGGACTCAAAGCTGGTATGGACTACATAGTGAACCCTTTCTCCACCTCCACCTCAAAATGAACAGCACTGTAGGTAAAGAAAAAGCATACATCAGTTTGTCAAGCATTTATTAAGCACTTACTTTGTGCTAAGGTGTAGAGGTACGATGAAAATAAAATATACTTCCTGCTCTCAAGGTGCTTCTGGACTAGTGGAGAGGTAGTGATTCTAGTAGTTGGTGGTAAGCAACATGGCTGGCATTAGGACCTGATGCTCAGGGAGCATGGGACGGGGAAGCTAAGTCACACAGAGTGGATTGGTCCAGGGGTCTTTGAAAGGGAAAGCAGGAGTCTGTCAGGAAGCAGGGGTGGGCGGCAGATGTGGCACGGGAGGGGCTGAGCCTGGTGTGAGGACAAGCAGTGCCACAAGGCTGTGTGTGAGGCAGGAGGCGAGGTGTGGTAGTGTGAGGCAGGAAAGACAGGGGCACAGCCATGGGAGGCAGCAGAGAAGCTGAGATGGCACCCCAAGAGCTATGGAAGGCCACTGAGGCGTTTTAAATGGTGATGGTGGCCAGGCGTGCACCTCAGGAGGGACAAAAAGACAGGAGTGAGTGAGGTGGGAGGCTGGTGACTGGGAAGGAAAATGGCGGACAAGAGGTCTAGGGATTGGCTGTCTGAGGTGAAGGGGAGAGGGCAGGGTCTGGGAGCTCTGCTTTGGGCTTTCGCTCCTTTTCAGGGAGCCAGGAGTTCTGCCTTGCACACGTGAATTTCAAGGGCCCTCTGAATATAAGACAAACAATTTAATGTGAGGAGTCCTAAGAGTATGTGATATTTGAAAGTGTTGGCATAAAATAACAACTCTGCTCTAAGGGAAATATGAAAATAGTTTATTGTATTTTTTTCTTCCCAGTACCAGGGATCAAACTCAGGACCTTGCACTTGTGAGGCAGGTGAGGTTCCACTGAGCTAAATCCCAGGCCCTGATAATAGTTTATCCAGGCCACATGGCCAGGGAATGCCAATTCAAGTGACCCTGAATGACATGGTCTGCCATGGAAGAGTTAACATAAGCTTTCATAGTCAGAACAAAAACAGTTATAAGCCAACATATTTACCAGTTTCGCAGGTGGAGTTGTCAGGCGGTGGGTTCTAGCAAAGAAGAAAAATCTCTTCTATAGTATTCCGATGTTCTATCCTCCTCAGGGTTAGGGTTGGTGGGAGGCTACAGTATGTCTAAGTAGCAATGCATTCGTTCCAAGTGCTTTATGTAGAAGTCATGAGGATCTTACGCCAGAGGCTGAGGTCAGTGCTCCATGGCTATTAAAAGGGGATAAAGATGACCCAAGATTCCTTTGGTCTTTGTGTGCCGCGTTCCATCTCCCCCATCGGGATGTTCCAGTCAGCCCAGGTTGAACAGTCTGCGGAATCTTGAATATAGACGTGGCTTCTTCGGAGAATTTCCATTCATGGAAGTTATCAGCTTATTTGCGAACTAGCTAAAGTGACAAAGCCAGCCAGGAATGGTGGATAGAGGCCTATCGCAGTCGCTTTCCTTGTTGCTGAGACACACTGCCTGAGGCTTACAATTTAAAGGAGGGAAGGTTTATTTTAGCTCCTATCTCAGTCCACAGTCAGCTGGCTCCAAGGCAAGACAGCATGAAGCAAGGCAAGAAGAGAGCTGCTCACGGCCTGGCGGACGGGACGCAGAGAGGGGAGGGAGGAGCCAGGGAAGGAGTAAGTCCTTCCCAGTCAGACCCGGTGACCCAGCTCCTCTGATCAGGTCCCTCTTCACAGCACCGAGGTAGTTGTAGCACCCACGTCCCAGTGACCTTTCCCAAACCCCTCCTCAGAGTGCACGAGGCTTTGGTGTGGGGGGAGCCAGGTATAAACCATAACAAGATCCAAAGGCCGAGAAAACCAGCATTGAAGGGGTGAGCTGAGGCTGAGGAGTCAGCAGAGGAAATAGAGAAAAAGCGTATCCCAGAAGTGGGAGGACACCCAAAGGAGGGGATGTCCGTGAAGCTGAACGCGGGGGGAGTTCAAGAAGGTGATCATTGTAGCGAGTATCGAGTGTGACAAGACAGTGGGTCTGTGCATCATCACACTGATTTGGGAACGCTCACTAATGCCGCGCAGTTGGAGAAGAAAAAGGCCAGACTGAAAGAGGAGAACCTTTTACGTAAGACGTGTTGTTTAATTACTTTCAAACAGTCATGCATTTAGTGATGGGACATGTTTTGAGAAGTTCTCCCTTAGGTGATTGCATCATTGTGCAGACATCGTGGAGTATGCTCCCTTGCAGTTGGTAGACTCTCTTGCGTTTTCTCAGTGAGCAGATGGAGGTTGATGAGGTCAGATGAGGCGCCCAGGGTACCCTCTGTATGGAAGAATCCTCTACAGTGTTTGCACAATGATGAAATCACCTAATGAGGCACTTCTCAAAGCATGTCCCATCATTAGGTCATGTGTGACTGTATTTGAAAGGAATTAAACAGCCTATCTTAAATAAAATGTTCTCTTCTTTCAGTCCGGCCTTTTTCTTCTCAAATTTTCCTGAAAAAATATCACCTGAATATATATAATCATCTATTGTTTCGAAGGCCATGAAGATCAAAACAACAAATTAAGTCAAGCAAAGAGGGATGGGGTAGGGGCTGGGGGTTTAGCTCAGTGGTTCTGCCACCTGCCTCACGAGTGCAAGTACACTGCAGAATAATGATTAAAAGAGTAGAACACGCTGGGTGTTGCGGTGCACACCAGTTATCCCAGAAATCTGGAAGGCTGAGACAAGAGGATCTCAAGTTCAAACCCATCCTGGGCAAGGCTGGGGATTTGGCTCAGGGGCACCGTGCCTGCATCACGAGCCAAGGTCCTGAGTTCGATCCCTGGTACAGGTAAAAAAATGTTTTTATTATCATCTATCATAATTGAGGGTTATGGTTTACGTCTAGAAGGTCCCCCCGAACGCCCATGCTCAGGAGCAGGGTTTTTGGAAGCGGACTGGATGGTGGGCGTCACAGTCATCAGACGACGCCTTCACTGATGAGGTCAGCAGCTGGGGCCCGGGGAGAAGCAGGTTGCCGGGGCTGACCTGCGAGGGTGCAGCTCCTCGCTGCCTCTTCTCTTCAGTCTCTGCTTCCTGGGTGGCATGACATGAGCCCTCTCCTC